AGAGTAAATATTTATGTATATTTAAATATATATGTACAAAATTCAATATATATAAATATGTATAGATACACACATCAGTGTCTATGGGATGAATAGATGAGAAATGATGGTTTTAAAAAAAAGAAAAGGTGCACAGCACCCAGCAGCTGTGTCACACAGCAGTACTGAGCTGGAAGAGCACATCAAAGTTCTGTCTCTCAGGTGATGGGACTAGCGAAGATCCCATCACTGGAAAACTGTAGCACTTTCAACACGACACGAGCAGTGCCACTTAGGGCTTTACATGGAAGCTACTATATTTTATAAACTATGATCTGTGTCCTCTGAAACTCAATGCGTCAAACTCCACAGAAGGGTGCAAGGGAAAGAAATTACCCCAGTATATCTAGATTTCTTCTCCGCATTAAATTTCCCAGGCCTTATATTTTCAACTGTGAATGTTCTCTGATTGCCAGCTTTTGGAGCACAGTCTTTTGTTTTTTGCTCTGCACTAGGATAATGGTGGCATAGTAAGGGAGATCTCCAGTCAGACCAAGGCTAACAACTGCAGCAGTAATAGAAAGGAATATTACTAATAAAAACCCAAAGCATACACACCAGAAAGGAATGCTAATAAAAACCCCAAAACATACACACCCATCCCGCCATGGATTTTACACCATCATTTATTATCATACAAAACAGGTTCAAAATATCAGCAGGTCAGAACAGCTGCATGTTCCTACCCATAAATAGATACTTGGTTTATGAGACCAGATTAACAGTTAAACACACACATGACTCTCTTCCAATCTAATTTCTAATGGACCTATATCCACACCACAGAAACAACCGCTCTCCCTTTACAGAGCTGTCTATAAGCTTTACAAATGCCCTAGGCTAAAAAGATTTAGTAGCTCACTTCTCGTGCCCAAGTGGTCCTTCCAGGTTTGAACTGTAGCCCACCAATAACATAAACATGTAAAAAAGTTGCATTGCACTGCACCGCTTCCCATTCCGCTGATAAATACAGGCCTTCCTTCCCTAGCATGGTTTAACTTGGCATTTTAGATAAGCAGTTAGTAAACAAAAACAAACATGGGCATGCAACCCTGCCAAAACCTGCTGTGAGCACTTACAAATCCAATCAGATAAGGACTGCCAGCATCTCCCAGGAGGTGTGAAGTGAAACTCTGCAAGGCCACTGCGGTTGCACGGCGCGTTGGAATGACCACGTACTGCAAAGAAGAAGGGGGAAAAAAAAAATACATAAGGAAACTGAAGTAAGAACCTGTCCAGCTGTCTTGAATTGCTCAGTTTATACCCAGGACAGGACAAAGTAAGCAAGCTCCCCCAGATGTCGGTGGCAGCCACGGTCCAGTCCATGGGTGGCGCAGGCAACTGGGGAGCTCAGCTACCCCTCCTGGCTTTCTAGTACTCCTGATGGCAGGCGTTGAGGGAAGGAAGCTCTGTCCGGTCTGCACTCCTCTCAGCAGCACTGGATGCACGAGTTTGACTAACAACTTTGCCCACAAGACACTTTGCTACTGCTCCAAGCCTATTTTGCTTGGCTGATGGGGAGAGCGAAGTTCGAGGTTGCCTGCGGCACTTAACTTGCTCAGCATCACCAGCCTTCCAAACGAGGACGTTGCTGAAACCTGGGATGTTGTTTTTTTTCCGTAATAAAGATATCATTTTGTTTCCTAAACCATAAGCAATCCACATCAGTATGAAAGGTCACACATCCTCCTCTCTCACTCCACCTCTAGCCACTTCATGTTTTTCTCAAAAATTTGTGATTCCACTTGTGAAAAGTGATAAAGACACATTAGGAAAATTTTCCATAGCCAAGATGATGTAGTTTGGTCTCCACTCCTCTAATAGGACAAGACACCTTCATCCAGGTCATGCAGAATCAGTCTGACTACACAGGATCAGTGGAAAACACAAGTTACTTCTTCATTAAGGGACCAGAGCTCACAGAAAACAGAGCCCTAACCATGGAAGAGGATGAAAGATTAAAAAAGGAAAAAAAATCAACAAACCCTCATCCTGTGGAATGACCTTAATTTTATAACACACATTTAGAAGCAGAAAAAAGTAATTGTCTCCTGCATAAAACCTGTGAAAGCAGCTGGCTAAGAACATCTGCATCAAGTCCACATATCCTGGTTTATAAATTGATCCTGTCTTGATTTAAAGGCTGTAAGTAATGAAGAATTCAATAGGTCTCTAAATCCAAGTGAGCTTTGTTTCCACTTCTAAGCACTGAATCTTGTTCTGCCTTTCTCCGTTGCTCTGAAGAGCCATCTACCCTGCCAGAAATAGCTCTCTTGTTTAGCTATTTGTAGACCATGATCCCTTTTACTTGTCCACTTCCTCTCTGATGGGCTGCCTTTAGTCTTTCTTTAGAAGGCATGCCTTCAACTCATTCTTGCAATCCTTTCTTGAAGTCATTTATTAATTAAATGTGACATTTCAGGACTGGCATATCCCCAGCTAGAGATACACAGAGATCAGTTTAGCTTAGCTGACTGAGGCAGGGAGAACTCGCTGCTCAACAGCGACAGATCTCAGGGCACAGGATCTGAAGCACTGTTTCAGTGCTTTAACACTTCCTCGTAGGGAAGGTGATTTGCCCTGTCTGCAGTGGAAAGAGTTAGCCATAAAAAAAGGAAAGAAAAGAAACAGCGTTGAGAAAATCCACACTAGAAGAGAACTGATGCCTGCTTAGAATGATCATCTCATTCCAATTACGAACGATGGGTAAAATTAGATTAAATGCTTTTCGTTCGGGTTTTACCATGTGCTTTCAGAACGACCTGCAAGTTCTTTCATTATTGGTTTGACAAAGCTGCAAACGCACGCTGCTAATGCACTTTGATGCCACGTATTAAATAGGTACCCTGTTAAACTCCTGTTGTGCAACAGAAAAGCAAAAGATCATCAGATCCACAGCAGCCACCTGGCTGCAGATGTTAGGCTGTCCTCCTTTTGCATCCAGGAGCTCAAAACAGACTTGAAGGCTCACAGAAATCCCATGAGGAAAATAAGGTCTAGACTTTATTAGGGACACAGAAACGTACTGAAGGTCACACTGTGAAACAGTGGGAGAGCCACACAATTCATTATCATTCCCCAAAGACGCAGGGTAATGGGTGCAACCTGGATCGATTAGACAGAAGAAAAGAAAAAAAAATAAAGAGTGAGTTATTGTTCTTCTCCCCACCTGGCCCCAGTTCACACAGGTGCAACGGAGAAGCATTCGCAAGAGCTGTTTGAGAAAGGGCATCTGAGAAGATAAAGTGAAATTCTACCTGATTCAAGAGTCCAGAGTTGTGTATATCTGTGAAACTGGGAATTTTAAACTTATGTTAAAATATTTTTCTTTCTATAAAGTTTATGTTAACAGATCTGGAGAAGAAAGCCTGCCTGGCTCTATATTCTATCCATTTTCTTAGCAAAATGACAAAGGAAATGGCAAATTTATTAAAAACTTACCATTTTCAGGGAGTGGCAGTGAGTTGGTGCCAATTGGAGAAAGAAATTTGAATGATACCTGCATTGTATGTGTGTGTGCATATATATATATTTATACACATGAATAGACACTCATACATATATTAGACATAATTTTGCATGTGTATCTGTATTACGCATACATATCGTTTTGCAAGTAGCAATACAATTTCCAGCAAGTTTTCAGTTTGCCTAGCTAAAGAAGTTATTGATGGTTGAAACCATCGATACGGTTTGGCACTATAAAGTGCCAAAACTTAGTAGATTTAGTCTGGAATTCAAGGGACAAACACCCCCCCCAACCCAAAACCCCAACATCTGGCAAGTAAATGAACATGAGATTTTTCCTCCTCCTCTAAAAAGATGTTGGAAAGAAAAAAAGGCTTAAACCAGCATCTCCAAAACACCAAAAAATACTCCACCCTATCCCTACTTAAAAAGCATTTTATTCTGATGGAGAGGAAGTAGTTGGTAGCAAACATTATCTGCTGTTCTAGGAAGACAGCAGTAAATTACAGCTCTAAATGGGCATTTGGATACTAAAATAGACCTAAATTCAAACCATACATGGGTTTGAACATCCCACAGAAACTGGAGGTGGGAGAGCCACAGCAGCCGAGGCGGAAGCCCGTGGGATCGTCCTGGCTCATCTCTGACTCCAGGTTCAGAGGCAGGCAGCACAGAGGATGGGCAGGGAGGCTGACCCAGCAGCTGTGGCAAACCTCTGCTCTTTAAATAGAGGTTGAGAAAGGCCATGGTTTACTGCTGACATCCCCTTCCTGTAGTGAAACCAGCAGAATGAGTTGGTCTGAAATAACCAGGAAAGCCAAGGAGAGATCACCCTTCTCCCAGTAAAAGGCCACGTGCCAAAGAAGTAAGTTCTGATGTTTACATCTAATCTTTGATGGAAAACTCTACTCTCCAAAATACTTTGCTACCCTTTCTGGGTCAGGCAGTAATCTTCAGGACAATGCATACTGGCCTCTTTCAGCACCAAAGGCAAAGAAAACACACGCTAACCCTGTTCTAGCCTCTGACAGAGCCTGGAAATAGTCCAGGTGTCCCCATTGGAATTACTGTTCAGAAAAGGCAAAGGCTGTGATCCAGAGAAACCAGCCTGAGAATGATCCTTCATTCAAGCTAGGCAGACACTGTCTAAAAAAATACTTTTAAATGAAGTAAAAGGAGGCTGACCTGGTCTCCAAATCACAGCACAACATGGAGCAGTACGCATCCATCTGCAACCCTCAGCCCACAGCAGAACTGCAGAGGTGCCCCTTGGCACGTCCCTCCCGGTCAGAGCTGTGCTCGAGTGTTCGAAGCAGGCTGTGTACCTTCATTCAAAGGCACTCCTCACCCTGCCTTAAAATCTAAACCACAGCACTCGGATTACTGATGTGCGGAGGCACACTGAGAAAAGCAACAATGAGAACTCCTGGAAATGCTATTTATCTTTGGCTGTAAAAATAGGGCAGTATTTTATACTACATAAAGAATTGGCTTTTATTTATAGGGAAGGTAATCAGAACAAAAGCAACATTCCTCCATGCCTATAGCACAGCTGAGCACCAGTCTATGCGTGTTTCAAGCCTAAAGGAAGACTTCGACTCTACAGCAAAACATTAACGCAGCTCCTCCATGACCATTTAAAATGAACTAATATTTTAAAAGAAATATGCAGAGCATTTTTTTGCATGAGTGTCAGGACTTTGCGTAAACTGGAGGATGGCTTTTCTCAGCAAAGACCTAAAGCGATTGTGATTGCAATAGCTGAGGCCCTTTAAATTGCTTACTGGCTCTTACACAGAAATGCCACCAAGCCTCTGTCCATCATCTTTATTTTTGAGATGTGCTACAGAGGAAAAACCCCACTATTAGCACCAGATTCCACAAAGTGCCAAGCACTCAGCATGTCTCAGAACGTTACACACTTGCCTGCTGCACTGAAGCTCATTCATTATTGCTGTTACAAGGCAGTTTTAATGCTACTTTGGGGTTCTGGTAATTTTGAGGCCAATTTGCAAAGATGGCTGATAAAATCTGTTTCATAATTAGCATGCTCCAAAAGAAACATCCTCCCCTTCCCTAAGCACCATCTGAGCATGTGCCTGGGAGGAGATTTGGAGAGTTGTGCTCAGGAGAATAAGGCCTGTTTTGTACAAATTTGCATTTGGAACAAATATCAGCCTTTTAAAATCTCAGGCAGTGTGGTACATCCTGCAGTGCTGACAGTTTATCAAGCCTAGCACTCAGCACCTTTTACTGCAGACAATTTGAGGAGCTGCACAGCGACCGTTACACTGGCAAAAACAGTAGATGCAACGGAAGCATGAAGCTACAAAGAGCCAACAATTAAATTTGAAGATAATAACCAAACAGCCTTGTTTTGCCAAGGAAATTAAACTTGCAAAACCTCTGAAGATGCTTACCAGCTTGCCCGATAGGGTTCTTAAGCAGTCATGAATCTGTAAATCTTGGGAGAGCTACAATAAATCATTTGGGATGCAGTTTCCAAAAAGCCTCACTTCTGGCATAACGAAATCAGTGGGAACAGTGTTCAGCCAGTATTGAGAGCTTTTTATCCATGAAAACAGGATAATATTTATGTATATGATGAAAGTGTTGTTAAGCTTGCGCTAATAATGCTTTTAAACTCCTTACCAGCCTCAGGCAAGAACAGACACACTTCTGATTACACCAAATAAATAGTAATCAGTAGAAATTAATTTGCCAGACATTTAAGGTGCATCTTGCTAAAGCATATCCACGCTTTTCTCTGGCTAGGAATTCTTATGAAGCTGTCTGTCAAACATGGTTATAGCCCTGGCTCTCACCTATTGTCTCATTAAACATCCTCTCAAACCCCCTGTGTAATATGAATGCACTTCAGACCATCTGTTTACAGGCTTGCATTGATCTAAGTGGATGTTTACATTTATTTCTATAGCACTTTTACAGATCTACACGTGCTGATAATGCATTAAGCTGGGCATTATATATGACACTCAGTTCATTCTTCTAAACAGACAAGAGAACAGCTAGCTTAAGAGTTGGCATCAATTACCAAAATCCAATTTTTACATTGTTTTACTTTCTTTCCCATTTTTGGAAATTGGAACTAAGAAATTATTTAAAATTATTTCCAATAATTTCTTATGGAGTTCTTTTGCACTAAAGCAACATAAATAACTGCAAATGCATCCCTACAAAATGCAACTGACTATAGGATGTTGGTAAGACAGATGGCAAACCCTATAAAAGCTATTAAAAAGCTACAGGATACTGAAGTCACATTGAAATCAACACAAAAAATCTCAGTAATTAAAACGGGACAATGATGGCATCCTTAGCACACTTGGTATAACAAAGTAGTTAGTTGAAAAATGTCTTTTGGGGTTAGCTTGAGACAACGTAGGTCAAGTTTCAGCTCTCTCTCTGGCACAGATTTTCTGGAGGACCCGGAACATGTCCGACAGGTACCCTCCCTCCAGCTGCGCTATGTCGGCAGCAGGGATGACTACCTCAGCTGCTCTTTGAGAGTCACTGCTGGACGACTGCAGATGTGCTCCATGGCCAAGCCTTACCTGTTTCAGCCAATGCTAGTGAGGATATAAAAGATCCGCTCTTTGAGCCCATCAGCTAATTCTGACCAGAGAGAGCTGGGAGCCCTCCTGGGAACATCACAGCCAAAGGCAGGATGCGACAGCAAGCTCTGGCAGGAGGCAGTAATGAACAACTACAAATACTGCACTATAATTTCTTCCTCAACACAGCTGTCTGTAGACTGCACGTCTGTCTAAGTGTTGAGATGCCACTTAATGAACGGCCACCGCAGCCTTGAACTAAGCACAAGCTGCAAAACCCAGGTAAGTACGGAGTAAACACCCGTTCAGCCCATGCAGAGCTCTATCACACTAAAGCTAAACTGGTAGGAGGAATGAACCTTGGTAATTAAAAGCTATCTAACGCTACTGAAGTACATAACCTTTGTTTCTCCGTGCTTTATTCACATCTGAGAGAAGTGGAATTAACCACCCCACCCCACCTCCCAAAGCGTTCTCTGCACAAATGAGTTAAAGATCGAAAGTTCATCAGGCAACGCAGTTACGGCAACTACAGAGCTACCTTCAAATTTAAACACAACCCTGAACTTAAATCATAAACAGAACTTAAGCAGAAGCTTCTTTGCTGAATCAATATATCAACACCATTATCGTTACATCTAGGAATACTGAGTCAGATTGTTTTCTCGTTGCTGTTTGCATAAGCAACAAATACAAGTCAAGGGAGTTTTCTATTGATGTCAGACTGATTATATTTTTAGTTCTGTCAACAACCTGCCAAAAGACCTCGGGCAAGTCCTGTAATGGTTCTGTGCCCTAGTTTCTTTCTTTTTCATACAATAAGCAACAAGTAACCTCCCTCACAATGGGATTTCAATATACAGTATGTTTGATAGGCTCTGTACGTCTCTAATGGAAGCATCTACAAAACATGCAAGGCTCTCTAACAAACGTCCAGACTATTTCATATGAAAATCTAGCTGCTGAGGTCAGCTTGCTGATTTGAAAGGCTTAAAAAGTTCTATGGTGGAGAAAGAATGGAAAACGAAGGACATGAGGTGAAAAGTTCCTGACAGTTTCCTCCTGGACAAGGTGGACATAGTCCAAAAATTCTTTATACTTTCTTTTCCTCTCTCCTCTCCCAGAGGTGGTTTTCTATTGTGTATGTGTTGAATGGTAGGTTTGCTGGAGTTAAGCCAAGAGAGAGGTAGATGGCTGCCTTTGTGGTCAGAGGAGGGAGGGAGGGAGGGAAGGATTTCCTATTGCAGAACAAAGCTGAGTTATTGATAACAAAATCCACTAATGTGCTGACTATTAGCAAATGCTAGCTGATTTCTTTGCATATGGGGGTTTGCGCAAATACTTAAAATTTGGGGAAACTATTTTCCCAGGTGTCCCTTCTGCATGTTTGCTCTCCCTGGTGCTCGGAACAAAGGACAAGAATAATCTTTTGTTCTTTCTCTCTCTCTATCTCACTTTCCTTTTCATTCAGTAAAAAAAAAAAAAGAGAAAAAAAGGCTGAAGTAGGGGGTAGGCATTTGGAAGAAATTGTGAACTTCAGGTTGTTCTTGCAAGCTGACAGACTGGTCTGGCCACCAGAAGAGAAAGATGCTGTTCCAAAGTACACTCACCATTAGTATGTCTGCTGTGATAGCCCAGTTTGAAAACAGAAGAGTTTCTCCGATAAAAATGCAAATCTGTTGTAACAAAACACACAAAAAGGAGAAGATTTATTCACTTGACATTCAAGGGAAAAATAACCTGTCACAAACTTTCCTTTGTTGCTTATTTGTCTCAAACCTGCTCAAAGGATTCTTCTGCACACAATACACTCCTGGTTACTGTTGTGGTTTATCCTGAATATTAGAAAACTATAGATTTCTATCAGAGCTCTAGAGGGTTGGCCTGCAACTTCATTAGTGTAAACTGTTTATGATCTACAGAGCAGCTAACTAAAAGGCTGACACACTTGGTAACAGAAGAATATGAGAAGCCAGCAAGAAGAGACAGCCCTGAGCTTCCATACTTAAATCATTCTGTTCCAAAAAGCCAGTTAGAAAAGGCAAGAAGGCCACAAGTCCCCAAAACACAGTCATCTTCATCACTAGGAATCAAGTTATGTGTTAAGCTCTGTAGCAAACCAAATGAGGTTCTCTACCCACTATGTGCAAGATCCCTTCCCTCCCCTGCTAGCATATTGCTGTCCTTTTTGACGGGGACATAGGTCTAGGCACTGTAACAACTCAAGCATTACATTGGCAATATCTATGTACAGTCCAGACAGGACTTAAGTATGGGTTTTGCAACATCAGTGTCTTACGGTGAAATATAACTCTTGACTCCGTGGAAATGGTCAACAAGACACATTAAAAGCCTTGTGTACGTAGTGGGATGAGAGCTTCTTTTTGTTTCGGTGTGGTATAAACAGCCACCACATACCCTTTCCACTTCTGGCACTCCCTCCTCATTCACTCCCATCCCATCTGCCTTCTCAGTTGTGCTGGTACAACAGAGCCAAGCAGGGATTCAGATCAGGAGACTGAGATGGAGCAAAGACTCTTTTGTTGGGGTGGAGGTAGGGGAAGAGGGGCTTGTTTTGCTTATTTTTGTAATTTTTAACCCAAATCAGTTCACTAAATGGTTCTACAAACACAGCAGTTGAAGAACTGGAAATGATCAAGAGGAGAAACTAATTTAACCTGGCCTCATCATTAAAAGAAACGTTCATCAAACTGAGTCCAATAGAGCAAGGGTGACACAGCTTCAGGCGGAACACTGCCTTCATCAAAAAGCTTTCTACCCATATTTCAATCATGAAACTTTTGCTTTTATCCTATAGGTTAACAATTTAACAAAGAAATGTAGGTTCAACAGACTGAAAAAACAAGGATGGAGAATCTTCCACAAACACGTTTTTCACTTCCTTTGTGTATTATGAAGAGCAGAACACATAGACGAAGCGCTACGTAAATAACCAGACTTGTAAAAACCAGCTCCCCTGTTCCCCACCAGTAAGAAGGCAAGCAAAACTCCTTTACTAGATGTCCCCCAAAAGGTTGCTTTTTGCCCAGCTAACCCATTTCTTTCTGTGGCATCTAGAGACAAAACATTACTCCTGGAATCCCTATTGGTAGTTGGCAATAACAGCTATGGAGATTTGGATTCAGGTAATTGAAGATTCCCCTTTTAATTGCCTTATGCTCAGTTTTTGTTATGTTGAATAGGCTACAATTCATTAATGAAACAAAGCCATCAAGAAATACACGGTACCCTTTGCTCTGAGGAAACATTCAGATGGATGTTGTTTTGTGGTGTTCTTGTGAGCTTTGACAGGCTGACAGTCCCAGTCCCCGTCGCTCGCACAGGCGCAGTTTGGGGTGGGAGGACGACCTCCAAGATTGGCAGCTACGGCTCTGATGTGACCACCGCAATTATCTTTCCCACACACCGGTTGAGGTTGCCTAAGCCCCTCAGACCATCATGTCGCTGCCAGGAATATTTGCTTTATTTAGCAAGTCTTACTCATTGACCTACAGCAAGCTTCCTCTATTTGTTTCTAAAATTGTCTTTGTTTCCCACACATTCTCCCTCCCTATCCCCTCTTTTTGTGACTGGATCTGCTTCCTTTGTGATGGCGTCTGAGCCAGTCATTACAGCCCAGCTGGTCAGTTAGGAAATCTCCTCTTTCCACTTTCCCACTGTCCACTGGTCTGCCTTGAACTTGGCTCTCACTGGGAATGACAACTGCCAAGCTAAGAAACACAGATCCAACGAATCAAGGTGCTGACAGGAGTTGAAGCCATGTGTCATGTAGCAAGGGCTCTCAGGACCTGCTCTGAAATCTGTCCTACTACAGCTTTGCAGCTGCTGTTGCTGGGGTTCTGTGGCTGGAGAGATTAAATTGAGCTTGGGAAAGATGTAATCACACTTCTGAATGCAGCATCGACATGCCCTGCCTGTTCATACAATATTGCAAACAGGCAACTGCTTGCCTTAAGGTTATATAAATTACATACACGTAACACACATATGAATTGCTACATGCAGCAAGTAAAACTTGTCCCCTTCTGCAGGAATTCAGCACAAGTCCTATAAATAAATCACTGAAATGCTCCAAACTTCAGAGTGCACCAGTTTTGAATTGTTGAATGTGTATTTCACCCAACACGTTTCCATGAAACACGTGCTTAATACGTGGATACTGGTAAAAGGAAAAGAGGAACAAGAGGAAGATCAAAAAGTAGGACAAAAGATACTGACATTAAAAATAAAGTCTGTCCTTCAGCTGCTAATGGGGATTTATAAAAATGAGTTCATCCACTGCAAAGGGCATATGAGGATATGTGGCATTTCTGCTGGAGAGAGACTCTAGGGATGCTTTCTGCAAATAGGGCAGCCTCCAGAACAGATCAATAGCTCCTGAAATGATCACGGTTTTGACTCCTCACACACTTTTCAAAGCCTCATTTTACACTGCGATTTCAGCTCTAGAGATATATCCTCTTCTGAATCCAGCTGTGTTCTATAATACCTCACCATCTCCATTTGGTGTCCTGTTGCTCACCTGTGATGAGCTGATAGAAGTTATATTCCCCTCAAATATTCTGTTTATGTGGTCAGTTAGCAAATTCTGATTCCCAGAAATGATAAGTAAAGTAGTTTCAGAGTGGTCGCACCAGCAGCTCTCACAGCAAGATCTAAGCAGGTTATAAACTCCTTCCATGGCTATTTGCAAAGTGCGTATCTGTCTACATCTTCATTATCTGTATTTCTCTTTGAAATGCTGGGTAAGACTCCCACATGTACTCTTGAATTTGAAGCACGTCTAACTCTATCTCAGTGTTGGGCAATATCGATGCCTTAGAAGTAGGTAAGTCACCAACACCATGTCAACAGAAAGTCCCTGGAGTTGAGCCTGAGATGCTGTAAAAGCTCTATGGCAAGGTTTTACCCTAGAGTTGCGGTTTCTGCAAGATCATAAAATGTCTTTGAGGAATTGAAATAAATGTTGAAATTGAGGTACAACAGGAACTTGGAACAGTGTCAAAAGGAAGGCAAGGCAAAGCAAAGCATCGCTTTCCAGTCATTTGGAAATTTAAGCTAGTCTAAAATCCGCTGTTGAAATGTCTGAGTAGTGTGATACAATGATGCCAAGCAGCTAATGGGTTTCAAGAGACAGGTTTGAAAACCAACATTTCAAAGAGGACGTGTTTCAGAAAGAGAGAGACCTAACGATATGCAAATTGCTGTTTTAAGGAGCCGGACTACAACACACAAATCCACACGCTGCAAGGAACACAGAATAAGAACTGATTGGACTATACAGCCAAGCAAGACAGAAATACAAGTGTCTGGCAGCTAAGTAATAGAGAATGTTGTTTTATTCCGCCTTACCAGCCACTTCTGCCACTGCCAATAATTTACTGGATTAGTATGAAAAGATTGGACGGAAAAAAAGAAGTCTGTCTACCGCTCCAGGTAGGAGTGGCTGCTACAGAACTGGAATAGCAGCTGCCCTCAGGGACCAAACCCACCTGCAAGACAGGACTGAGCAGGGGAGGAAAAGTATGCATGTGCAGGGGAGGAAGAGAGCAGACAGCTGACAGCCTGTAAGGGACAAGGTGAGCATGCCAAAGGATATGCAGGTCTTTTCCAAAAAAAAACAAAACCCCAAAAGCCAAGAAATTAAAAAACAAGGGCTCTGCTGATTCTTGCTGGAGTACTGAACACTTCATTTATGCTGATGCCAGTATCAGTTGAAATTAAAAACTCTCTACTGTTAACTAGAGCAAGGAGGGAGATGGTGATCCGGTGGCCACCACAGCTCAGTGTGAGAGAACACCATCTCATGGGGACCCATCTAAATGCTTGGAAGTGATAATTTCAAGGCTCTGAGCCAATGAGGGGTCCAAAACCAGTAACCCTTCAATTTTAGCACAGTGTGATCAACGACAGAAGTCTAAGGACAGTCACAGTACAGAAGGTCTGGAAATACCACCATGTTGGTGGTACCACCAGAACATTGCTCTTGTCTTTCACAGTCATACAGAACTCAAAGATGCTGTTTCAGGATGAGAGCCAGGACACGGCTGTCAAGGCAGCTACCAGGGATGAGAAAATCCACTCATAAATTTTACTGTATTATTTCCAGAACAAGCTATTATCACGGATTTTGAGATAAGGAAGGTAACCTAGTCCATCATGCTGTCCACCATATCTAGGTGTTCCAACTCCAGAGTCAGAGAACAGTCTCTTCTTCATTTTGGACCAATGAGACTCAAAACAGACAGTAATGAGAAAGTGCTACACCATGCAACCTTGCAAGACAGGTCTCCTAGGGAAATGCAAGGGAATTAAACACTCTGGAAGTCTGTAAGATTGCAATAGCATTGAATGGCATGGAAAAACAAGGGCTTGTGTTTGAAACTTGTCTTGAAAAGTCAATTCAGCTGATACATAGCACCACCATGATAATACCTTGTGTTACGAGACATTAGTAGCTCCAACATAGACCTGTTCTCTCAGTGGGGTTAGCACCTGTAACACAGCAGCAGGTGTTGTGTCATTGTTTTCTGTTTATATTAATTTATAGTGGATGGCTTGGCCACAGATCTTCTAACTCCAGGTGATTTACAAACATTAATGATCTAAGCTACCCTGACCCTTTGTAAATTAAGAATCCTCATTTTTGCAGAGGCAAACCAAAGTTAAATAACTTGCCCACTGTCACGTGTGGAATCCGTTAAAGAGAGTTCAGCTCTCTGATTCCCCAGTCGGCACATTAACTATACTCTTATCTGCTTTCTGTGCATCAGGTTTCCAGCAGCAGAGAAACCATATTTAGGGCTACGGAGAGGCAGTGTTATCTGCAACAAATGTGTGCATCAGCCTAACAGCATCAGCAAATAGGCTTATGTTCTTCATACCCCCTCTGTATGCAGAGATAACTTCCTTTGCAAATCATTGACTCTTTATTAGATTTACCGCTCACGCATAATAAAATAAATTGTTTCTAAGACTGTTAAATAATACCATCTATATTTATATATTTACACAATGCAGAATAGTCACATGGCTATTTAAAAAAAAAAAACTAAGAAAAAAAGTTGAAAATGAAACCAATAACCACCTTCTGTTGCAAAATTTTTGAAAACGGTATTTCTGGCTTAGAAAGGGAGGACTTTCTGCATAAAGAGACTACACACCACAAATGAACATGTCTGTCATCAGGTCTGAGAAAGGAGAAAATCACAGGGCTGGCTGCCCTGTGGAGGTGGAGACAACCCTCTTACAGGTTGTCTGAGGGGATCATTTTTCTGCTGATGACTGAATCAAAGGTTAGTTCTAGACCATGCCACAAACCAGAGGACTGAATCTCCTTCTGACACTTTCTAAATAGCCAGAGTAGGCATTCTTGGTTCTGTCTTTATGTTTTTAAACTTTCACTCTTTTTTCTTGTGTTTCCCCATAACAATGGCAGCTATTGAAATACTCAGAAAATAACCATGGCTAGGCTAGTGCTAGAAATATAGAGAAACAAGGAACCGCAGTAGATTGGTCGATTGGCTAATTGTAAACGAATTCTCCTTGCTGGGTGGAGTGTGCACTGCAATGTGGAAGCTAAGGGTAGGCTTTCAGAAATTATCCCACTACTCCAACCATCTCATGCTTTCCCTTCCAAAACTTCTCCAGGTCCTAGGCTTCTCTCTATTACATTGAAAGAGAACCTGGGAATCAGTTCAGTGTACTGGATTTCTACTCTCTACTGAAACCAAGATTCTAGCCTGAGGCTGGATTATTATACTTGAGTTTTTCCTTTTCCCTTCAGTCTATTTGCCTGGATCTATCTGATGTCTTTTTATATACTTCGATTATAAACACTCTGGGAGGGGCCATATTTTAATCTGCATTTGTGCAGCATCAGGTATTGTGGGTTCCTAGGCTATGACTAGGACTTTCAGGTGCTATGGTTAATACAGATAACAACAAATTGAAATTACATGGTAATTAATATTGGTCTGCAGCAAGCTACTTAGTTATGGAAATTAATAGTACTTATAGGCAGCCAAGAGCATGCCCACAGACAAATTATACTGTAATTACAATTTGGTATCACTGCAGCTACAATACCCTTATTGTAAGGGAAGTGGCCAATTTTCCTGTACCAAAACATTAGTCGAGAGCGGTAGAGATATGGATAGAGGTATAGACAGAACAACCCAAACGCAGGGAACAGTGGCTTCCCATGCATGCGCTAAATCCCCAGCTCTAAATTCTGATGACAGTTAGCGAGAGGGGATAAGTAGTTGAGATATCATTTTCCCTTCGGGCACATCTAGATAGTGCCAAAATGCCAAGGGACAAAATGAAGGACATTCAGAAGGGGAAAAGCTAGACCAACATCTCAGGCTTCCTGCAGGGGACAATGCACACAGTCTTCTACGGAGTTTGGTAGAGAGAGTAAGAGCGAGACTGGCATATGCAAAGGATTATACTTACATAGGCTCCCACAATGCTGCTCTTGGCAGCAACGAAGATCAGACAGATGAATATGGCCGATCCTAGCATGCCAACAGCACAGACAAGAGGATCAGCTCGCTGGGTTTTTAACCGACACCATTTGGTTGCCCCAGCCCCTGTGATTACACCCAGGAAACCAGTGAAGCATGTGATTGCTCCGAAGATCAAGCTATTAAAAAGAAAAAGGAAAAAAAAAGGAGACAGGTTTTTTTTTTTTGGAGTTTTTCCCAAAAACGGGCATGGTCTTTGAACAAATTATTAGAGTAAACTGACTAATGGAAATCTGCACATTGGCTTTGCAAATTTAAAATAAAACGAATGAGCTCCTCTGCCAAGTGCTCGTGATTTTAGCACTCTTCCCCTGCAATTAAGTAAAACAGCATATGAAATTCAGCCTTGTACACAGGCATTGACCAACATGCAAAGAGGTGCAAAGGGCTCATACTGCTTCTTTGTGTGGAACTGAGCTTTTTATCAAGTGCATTGTACAGCTAATTATGTATGCACAAAACTAAGTAATAACCTGCACATTGATCATGTAAGGGGAAATCATGGACAGAACAGGCACTATGAAGCTTAAGGGAAAGGAAACCTAACAAGACTCTAAATACCAGTGACTTTCAACATACTTTGACCTTCTACCTCCTTTCAGACCACTTCAAAGAAGCCTGATTAGATTATTTTGCTGTTATGTTACACATTCAAAATGTGTTAATTTAAATTTAAAGAGCCAGGAGCTGTCAAGGATTCTCCATATTGTATGTGCAGGACTTGGATTACAGAGTCTTTGGCAACTACGTTACAGTAGCTCCAGGGCAGCTCAAAATATAGGTGTCATCAAGGAGTGGAAAACTTCTCTTTGTAAACGGCAGACGGGCAGTCTGACTGGAGCTGTATTTTCTGCTCACTGCATTTTTGCAGAATAGACTGAGACTGCCTGCTGGGCGCTCTAGTTGATGGTACTCCAAACCGCTAAGTAGTTTACTTGAGATGGGATTGTGTCAGCCAGAGCAAGAAGGTTTTCCTGATGTTATTTTTCCCTCACAAGCTAAAAAGCAAAAGAGCTGACAAAAGGCAGTTTTTCGTATCTTTTATTCACCTGGAGAAATGTTTTTTTAGCATTTTATGTTTTGTGCTATCATGGTAAAGCACAAAACGATGAATTACTTTTCATAGCTTATGTGCTGCAAGTGATATTGTATAACTGGGACTGAAAAACCAAACCACCGTATAACATCAAGCAATCCAGACCAAAGTGTCCCAGTGAAGTCGTCCTTCACACAGAAACAAAAGTCTTCAGGGTCAGCCCCTGCAGCCTCTAGGGGAACCCTGAATTATAGCCACCACTGTGGCTACCCAACCTGCCAGCTGATTCTGCTGCTGTTGCAGAAAACAGCTTGGGTCTTAAGAAACCAAACTCTCTCTCAGCTCTCCAAACATCTTCTAAGGCAAAGAGAGCAGTCTCTTTTCTACTTCTGCACTATAGCCTGGGAACTAAGACAGAGCTGAGGTCATTGCTTCTCCCTTGGTTTGACTTCATGTGATGAAGAAAAGAAGAGAAATAAAACCTAGTTTACAATCCCAGCATTTCCTATCATTGTTGCAAAGACCTAGAGGAAATTACAGACATTCTAGTAACTTGACTCCATGGGACTTGCCTGTTTCCTCTGGTAAATAAGCCCCCACCTCTTTTCCCCCTCTTTAAAGCAGCAGAGTATGAATCTCACCTATCTTTGGTGCTGCAGGGCTGTGAACTGCAGGTCTCTGCTGTCTTCTGCACGACCTGTGCTCTGTGAAGGTAGAGCGGGATCCACATGCCAAGCGCCCCTGTGGCAAAGGAGACAGCTGAGGTGGCCAACGATGAGAACACGTAGCTGCGGCTGTGGAGACACAAGAGGCAAAACCAAGAGAAGGTTTAGTGGGAAAAGTGAAAGAGCAGGAGCCCCAGGACAGGAGCCAGTGCTTCAGTGACAAAACACAGTGTTCCCCCATACTAGCGACCTCCCTTTGCCAAGGGGCAGAGATAATACAAGGTACGAAGCAATGGAGAATAAAAGGCACGAAATATTTCTTCATACGTGATGCTCCATTGATAATCATGCACTTAACTCTTCAGAGTTGCTTCAAAGAGACCATTTTTCATGGGGCTCTTTCAAAAGACAATCAGTACTTAGTCACTAAGACATGATGTGTGAATTACAGGGCTTTCACTGTAACATCACCTGTTTACCTGAATTACCAGTTTCACTTCTCCCTCCCCATCCATGCCACCATATGATTACTACTTGGATAAACCAACAAAAAAGGTAATATAGAAATATTGATAAATTAACCATCATCACTTTTCATAGTCTTTTGATACTGGATGACAATACCAGGAAGGCATTCTAGCCAGCAGTTCTAAAAATGAAGGACACCACAAGTTTCCCATCAAGAATTCTGATGTAACATTGAATTCACAAGTGCAAGTATTTGCACATTCACAGGCAAGCTTTCCGGAAGCAAGGGCAGCTGCTTAAACACTCGTGAGCGTGTGATCTTTTATGCACATATACAAGCACCCAAGCACATTCAGTGCTCATGCATTCAGTCACATGTGGTTGTATAAACATATATATTTAAACTTGCCATGTAGTACAAGCTTTGTGTATTTTCTCCTCTTAAATTGCTCTGGCACTTAAATCTCTTTTTCTCCTCAGCAGAGTAGCTCTTTCAAGGAAGAAAAAGGATCTAAGTGTCTGAACAGCAGTGGCACAACAATTAATACAGGAACACAGCAATTTCTACACTACAAAAGCCTTGATTTGTCTGAAGTATGAGCCAAACAAAGCAAACTCTTTCTTAGAACTCAATCTTGGAAAGGTTAGAGCAAAAGTTGGAATCCATCATTGTCACTGCAGTCGATACCTTGTGAAAATGTAACTGTGATTTTCTTTCCTAGGTCCACAGACTAAGCTTCCTGCAACTCCCTGCATGTTGTCGCTTTCCAGTCTCACAGTGCTGAGAAGTACAGGCCATTGGATGTTCCAATTAAGCATTAGAGGCAAAGCATGCTTTTTACTAGAATGCTCTTACTTTCTAATCAGTGCTTTCATGTCTCTCAGCCATGAGGTCCGAGCCTTCAGCTGTCCCCCAAGTTGTTCAACATTTCCTCTTTTAGCAGCAGGTACAAATATCAAGATGAGTGTCCCTGTTATCATTCCCAGGAGTGGAGATACCTGCAAGAAAGGAACAGGGAATAGCACAGGAGTCAGCAGGGTTTGCTTTGACTAGTCAGTAAGAAGCAGATTACATTAGTTTTGTTTCAGCGACTCGATTCTTTACAGCTAGCCAGAATCTGTAAGCACACTGAGGAATCTGCTGCTTTCCTTCCTCCCTGTCATTCCCTGGACTCTCTTATCTCACTCTGGAAGCATGCAGCTTTGAGAATACTCTGATCAAGACAGTCCATTTCTTTATTAAAGTACCAAGATTCATCTAAATACGGTTCTTCAGTGATTAACTTTTTGGAAACCCACTTCCAGCTGGGCTAAGAGACCAACTAGTTTCTGGGAGAGTGCAGAAGCCTTTTAAAGGCAATGAGGCCAGATGAAAGATTTCTGGATGTAGGGAGCATGCTGGCTTTGAAAATCCTTACTTGACATGCGTCCCTCTTCCAGTTAACCCACAATGGCTTCCTATTTTCAGGCAGCTTCCTCAGATTACCTCAGTGTAGAGCAGACCAAGAAACATTGAAAATTCAGGCTGGAAGATAGGAAAACGACACATTCAGGGGCTAGGTTTCCCAGTTTCCAATCCCTTCTCCCAATCACTAGACAAAAATACAAAGATCCCACAGTGTTTTTCAAGCTACAAACATGATTCTTGTTTTGACACTGAAATTCCATCATTGTCAGAATAGAAAATAGCTCCGTTAGGAAAACAGGAACATGGATTTTCACCGAACTATCATCTCTTCTATACCTGCCATTTTAAAAATAAATTCCTGTTCCAAAAAAAAAAAGTTTCCAATAATAACCTGAGAATGGCCTTTACACATAGAGAAGTGTTTCACATCCAAAGACAACAAATCCAGAATTCTTCTAGGGAAGGAAAGGGAAGGCAAAACTATTTCAGAACTGGAAAGTCAGGAAAATCCCTCATCCAGGGATAAATGAAGCCTGATACAGTATCCTTATTACAGCTGAACACAAGACACAGCACTAGTAAAAAAAATTGAAATGCTGGGATTTTCTAGGGCCATATAATTTAAAGTCTCTTTGATTTTTATCTAAAGGCTTAATCCCCCAGCAGGACAATATCCATTGGTCCTCAGTAATGCTCCAATGAAACACTGACATTACTGCTAGATCCAGAGACAAAGCTGCCACTTGTCAAAGTACCCTTCTGTCTTCTTCAGCCCATTGAAGTATATGTTATTCCCGACCTCCTCTGGATTTGGAGACCACAGGAGATCACAGAGGGAAGCATCACCTAGGGGAATCTTGTACATCTTGCAAGAGCACAATAATTGCCACAGGGGCTGCTTTATACTGATGTCTGGAAGCTTTCAACATGTGCTGTTTGACTACAAAAACTAAGCAGTGCTGTCCAAAGCAACTATCATAGAAGTGAGCTGCTTGTCAGATTGCCCACGATTTTGCATGGTCAGGGAATCATGCATCAATGCATCATTTATAGTGGAAATCATGACCCCATAAGGGGTACAGTCTTGCAGATAGTCTGGATTTCTCAGGATAACCATGGAGACTTCATCTGAAGAGAAAGATGCTAGTGAGGATTTCTTTGCACAAATTAATCATTTGGGTTTTACGGATAGAAACACAAGAGCGCTCCAACGTATCAACCTCATTAAAGCCCACTGACCAGGAGGAGGGGCTTTGGGGTTTCTTATTCCTTGTGCTGGCCTCTGCTCAAAAGTTAATTTTACCCTTAAAGCATTTCTGCTACCGAATGAGGTAGCCATCCTCTTGGTGTGAAGCTGTAGGCTATTAAACTTTTCATTTCAGGTTCACAGCTGGAAACTACTCTCCACTCTCCTAGCTGCAGATGAACTGTTCACGGTGATTTTCCTGGCTTTGCTTACCCTTGCTGGACAGGGAGGGAATGGCCTGTGTCACAGAAGGGCACATTTGCTTGAGATGGGAACCCATGTATTTCATCACCTGCTGTTATAAATGCTGTTGGCCTGAGCTTCATGAGATTCATTGTCTTCATGAAGTGCCAGAGCCAGAGAATGCACCTCACGGGGGCTCATGCCACCCGGACTGCCAAAGGTCAGAAAACAGTTCTGCTGGGCTACTTCCTCTCAGCTCTTTCAAGACATCTTTGTGTGCAGGATCTGTTTGTGCGTATGTGATTGGAATGTATTATCTTTTCAACACATTTATCAAGGTCCCAAGAGGTTAAAATAGAAGGAAACCGACTGTCTCAGGGCAGAAAAACAAGCGGAAACTGGAACAAAGTGTTTTTTCCTCAAAGCAGGAAGCCATTCTCGGAGTTTCTTGACAGCAGGGGACTGAAAGACTGTGGAGTTGATTTAAGGCCAATGCCTCGTCTTCCCATCCCCATCAAGAAATCATGGTTGACTGATAATAAAGTGATTGGAACATTCTTGCTCCCAGGCAGGGAAAAAAAACAAGTACAACGAGCCAAAACCACATACCTTTCCCATTTGCTTAGAGAATGCATCTGCTATGCACTTAATATCCATAAATGCAATTTCCAATCCTTTACCTGTTATATATAATAACAAGTTGAATTGTGCGATAGAACTCTTCCTAACACTGATCAACCAATGCAACTGTTATTACGACGTTATTAAGAGTAGCTTACCCGCAACGCCCAGTGCCAGTCTCCAGCAACCTGCTTCACACTTGACCCAGTGATGTATCCCAAGCCACTGCAAGAAATACAAAGATGAGAGTAAGAGTACCACAATCACAGCTGTTCTTAAACAACGATTAAAAAAGTCACAGTCAATTGTGTGTCCTAGACTCTCTTCTCCTGCAGGAAGAAACACGGGGGATGAAGCTGATGGTGGCTAATACGTAACTCTTCCTAGCGCTATTGATCTAAGAATACTCAAATATAATGAAAATTCGGACACTGATCTCAGGTTTATAGCTGACCTTTCAATCTGCAGTGGATGGAAACAAAGCCTCAAAAAGAATTTATTTCCCAATTCGATTTCTACATCAGGCCTTTCTGTGCAGTAATACGAATACTTAAGAATTTTATGTTCAAGCTCTCAGTTAAGAAGTGCCCTTCAAGGACACACCATATTCTATCATTAAACTTTTTCTTGCCATTTAATAGTACTTGGTTCTAATTACGCATGAAGAGACCATTTTCCATAAGCTTATAAAAAACCCCAAGAAGAATATGCAAGACAGCCTGATGGGAGAACATCAAACCTGCAGCTTGGAAATCCCTTCTGAAGATAAAGGAGCACCAGGACCCTCAGCTACATGCTAAGAATTATACTGTGGTAACAAAAGGTGGCTCACAAGAGACTAGATAAAGGTGAACGTAGCCACGCTTCTCTCAAAGAGAACTGAATGGATGTGAATTTCCTTTTTTTCAAACTGCTGCGGTTGTTGCTGAGATTGCCTTGGCTAAAAGTTGCCAGGACTGCTGCGGGGCAGCTGTCAGCCATCACAGGCCTTTATTGAACAGTCTGCTAAGCTTTGGGGGTTGCCATCTATAATAACCCCCAAACTGGGCTTTTTACACAGACAGGCCCCAAAATCAAACCATGGATCCAAACCTCTGCTGCTATTGAGAGAATTAAGTCCCAGAAACAGGCTCAACAGGATGAATATTTGTCATTTCTTGCTAGCCACAGTTCACTGAATTCTCTATGTAAATACTTGGCATCCTTGGCCCTCTTGGGAAGATATTCTTTTCACCAGTTAAAGACTTGGCTATTTCTTTTTCCTCAAGAGCAAATGGATGTTTGTGAGTTTTATCTCAGGGATAAGTGCTCCAACTTGTAAAATGCATCACCCTAAACCAGAAGTTTTTCCCTGAGTTGGGGGGGATTAAACTGCTGCCTGTGTTTTCCCTGCTGGAAATGAACCCATGATGCCACTTTTGCACAGGATGTTGTCCAACTCTGGGAATCGGTATGCAAACTATGTGAACCCACCCTCCTACAACCTCACAACAGAAGGTCAGCCATTATTTTAAAAAAATAAAATTTAAAAAAAAAAAAAACCAAAACAATCAGAGATTCCCTGCTGTCCCAACAATCACATGCTGCATTGGGCTGATAAGGGAACTCAACTGAAAGAAAGCGCCAAAGGAAATAACTACTCCAAATCTGAGCCTGTCTGTTGCTTTCATCAAGCATCTATGGGCTTGGCTGTCCTCCACCACGCTGCGTTAAGACTGATGGTGAACGGTCATTACAGTTTCTCTCTTCAGCCTTGTCTACACTAGACTTCACAATTTCTCCTAATTGCTGTTTCAGTGCCAGCAGCACTAAAATGGACTGGCCACTGCTATTGCAGCTACCAAGTCATCTAAGGTTGGCTTAGCTGCCTTTTCCAAACTTAATCAGATTGGCCAAATTCAAGGTTGGGCAGAACTTAAGCTTAAACCAAAAATATTTTTAAAAGTCAAAATTTCAAATTGTGTATGTTATATAGCATACTCCTCTTGAAACCTCTGCTATTTAGACTGTCACATAGAAGCAGGTTCGCTCACTTTTGAAAACTCAGCCCAGTGTCTTAAGAGATCTTGATTTCACAGTAACCTGAAAAACATTGGCCTAGACCTCAAATGAATCAAAGCAACGATTCAGAGAACCAATATAACATTATTCAAAATGATAGTTTAATTTAATAATGCTAAAAAAAAAAAGTCAGCTAAAATACTTTGATTCCATTTCCACCCCATTACTGTTAAAAAAAAAAAAATCCTTCCCATTAATTCCCAAAAGTCACACATGAAACAGTAACAGGGCTAGAAAAAGAATCCAATTCCTGCAACTAATTAGTCACTGCTCACAATATTTTCCTGTCTAAACCATTCCAACCAAAGACAGAAGAACTATCATCATTAACAACTTAAGATCTGGGTGAGCTTACTTTAAGAGAAAAGCCAAAACCAGATGAAAGCAGCATTATGTCACTTACCTGCCAAGAGGAATTGCAAAGTAGAAAACAGACAGCATAAGGGTCCTTGTGTTTTTGGTGAAAAGGTCTCCTATGATGGTTGGTGCAATAGTGGAGTAACTTGCTTCACCGATGCCAACCAAACCTCGTGAGAGCACAAGAAGCCAGAAATACTGAGAAAAGAAATAAAACACGTTAGCAAGTCTCCCCTTGTCGTTCTGAATTCAGGACGGACAACAGTGAAAGCTGCGCAAATAGGGAAATAGAAACCCAGGTGACTGGAAAATGACCCCCTTGTATGCATTTATTTTTTTAAACCGCAGACTCTTTTAATTTGTCTCTTGCTGGGGAGGAAAGGGACTATATTTTTTCTGAAGATTTATAGGCATGAAAGAAAAGTAGTAATAATACATGTTTACCCAGTGACACTCAAGAAGATGTTCTAAGGCAGGCAGAAGATCAGGCTGTGGCTCACCCCTGTCGAGCCCAAATGCCAGCAGCACGGCACTGACAGAGGAAGGTTTGGGGAGGCGGGTGAGGGTAACAAATCCCGCCCTGGGATCCAGAAAAAGCAATACCTGCTGAGCACAACCCCAACCTCCCCAGCACGCCAAGGGACAGGGTAAGACTGGTGAAATCCCAAAGGCTCTTCAAAGCTGTGAAAGAGTTGAACCTGCAATCCCTCAAACTCTCGCTTTTTTCCTTGATTAAAGGCTACTGAATAAGGGAAGGTTTTCAAAGGTGTTAAGCACCTATCTCACTCCACTTGCCTTGGAAAAAAGCATAAATCTCCCCCTCACAGCAGGAAGGCAGAGTAAGCCAACACTGAAGACTTTTGAAAAACCTCAGGTTACAATCTGAGCTGAGATGCGCACGGTTACAAAGAGATAAGACTCGAGCTTTACCGTGAACCACAGGAACACCAGTGTGCTCAGTAAGCAGTACCACCTGAAGGTACCTCAGCAAGTAGCACCACCTCTGAAAGATTCAGAGCCATGCGAGGCAAGGCACAGGCTGAAAAGGCATTAAGCTGCCCAGAGAATTACGTGCCCTTCTGAGTAAAGGGCAAGCCAACAGAACGAGGAGAGGGACTTCACATTCAGCACAACACAGCCTAAAATGGACGAAAAGGAATTGTTCATCTAATAAAACTTTTTTCACGGCCCTGTGTCCCTGTTTCAGCCAACACTTCTGTAAACCGCAAGGACCTGATCTTCAAGCTGACCTCTTTCACTACACTTGCAGTTTTCTAGGTGCTGCTGTGTGAAGGCATAAGGGACAATACTTTGATGCCTAAATACCTGATACACGAGCACCATCAAGTTCTCAGACATCTAAGCAGCTTGGGCTACACCCAGAAGTAATTGCAGGTGCAGAAATTAAACAGTCAATTGCAGAAAACTGTAAGCACAGGGAAATCTATTTCTACAAATGTAACCTCTACAAATCCTCAATTTACTGTTATTGTTATATAGATTATTTGTGAAAAGAACAGCAGGGATTATGATATGTCCTTAAACATGAAAGTGCTTTGAGAACAACGAGTGATTATTGATTCCGCTTCTACAGATGGGGAAAAGTTGAGTTACAGGGAAGTGACTGACTTTGTGCCCTACAGCAAAGCTAAGAGTATAGGGCTCTCATTCTCAAATATGGAAAATGCCATGCAGACATCAAGCCACGTGCCTCAGTCCTAAATATATCCATCAGCAGACAAAAATCTACCACTGACACATTTTCATTGTTTTCCTCACTGCAATCCCCTGGTTGAAAAGAATTTCTTGAGGATTCCTATAGTCACACAAAACAAATACTTTTGTGCACTCTTCACTTCCTCTCATTTTGACATAAATTCTGCATCAATACTATTTTCTGAGTGTATACAAGTTCTTTGTTTGCTGGCAGGGCGTTTACCGTGCTGCTATCATTCATACATCTCCCATAAGCTGCACATACGTAACAGACACGTGTGGGTGTATTCAGAAAGGGCAATACTGTGACTCAAGCGATTTAATTTATGCCAATTACCCAATGCTAAATCACTCCACTGCAGAAATACGCTGACAATGATTGGTGCACAGGTAACCAATGTTTTTGGAATGAGCAACAGTATTTATGACATGCTGAATGACTTAGTCATGCAGAATTAGAAAGCAAGGGAACTGGAGGCTGATTTTGGTTTCTTAGGAGGTTCAAATCTGGATCACAGAGAGGGTGACAGGCAAAATAGTCATCTGCCAGACCTAGAATGAGTATGTAGACAGTGCTAGTTACACCTGTAGAATGACAAGTTTGCAAATGCACTGGATGTTCCTCAAATTTGAAATACCTACATAAAAATGACACAAGTTTGAGCTCACCAGCCAGTATCACTCCCAGTGAATATACGGGACAGGAATTTCCTCCAAATGCTGCTGTTATAAGATTCCTCTTACAATCCCTGCATAAAGCACGAAAACTCTACAAAGATTTCCTATTGTGGTGAAGAGTGACTCGGTTCCATCAACACCACTGAATCAGAGTCCCAATACAATGAAATCATCTGCAACAAATAACATGTTCATTCCTTTCCCCCAGTTCCTCCTTGAAGCCTCCTCCTGGGCTTATCCCACGCTTACACACTCCAAATATCTGTTTAATATTTAAACTATGTTCTCTGAAGCAGCAGTATCCAAATTTAAGTCATGAGATTCTGACTTCAGTTGACAATAAAAGGAGTCTTACAAAAGCATAATCTACGTAAAGACATGAATGGTATTGCCCTTCTGAGATTATATATTCAAGACTACAGACAATGCAGCTATTTAGGTATAACACCTAGGCAAAACATACAAAGTCTAAAACAACATTAGGGAATTATTTATAATCAGTTCTATCTTGTGCCTGGTTTTAGAGCTCTATATCTAGGATTAAAGAGCTAATGACTCTTCTCATCCCGCTGAAAGATCTCTTCTGGATCTTGGGCTAGCACGCATCCTATTGGAACCTATACAACAAAATGATGCAGTAATTTGTTACGTTAAGCTAGAACCCCCAATCTTCCATCTCTAATCAGTCAGTCAAAACTTAAGTTTTTATCATCTCTGAAGAGGGACAGCTGGGTAGCTCCCCAAGACAAAAAGTTGTCCTTTCAGAGAGGGGCCTAATCTTTTCATTTTTCATATAGAAAGAAAAAATACAAACAACAAAACAACTCCAAAATTCTTACGCTGCTACTCATTTGGACCACAGACATACCATGAACCACTTAGAAACTGGTCCCAAAACCACTATGTGTCCAATACAGACAACTGCGATTTTACATGTGCGTGTATTTATATACACATACACCCATATGCACATCTCTCTCTCTGAGTGTACACAAACACGACAACCAACATAAGCAAATGGGAAAGTCAGATATTACCCATGCCAAGGAAGCACGGTTCTCCCCCACAGCTGTAGCAGGACACTTCTACCGTTTCCTCTGCACTAGATTTTCCCCCCAAGTGCTTTTTTTCTCTCTCTCCTTCCTCAGGATTCTCAGCGGTTTAGTGAGACAAAAAAGGCTGACACCAGCCAAATTCTTCTCTAAATTATCTACGCTTAAAAGCAGTACAGGCAGCTAAGACTTTTAACAGAATTCACTGTTCCCCAAGCAGAAATTGATATATATTAAAGCAGCTTATTCCTTTCTACATTACTTTGGAGCTCTTCTGGAATTTGTCCATCTGTGCAAATAGTTCTCACCCTGGCAGGAAAATTGAAAACATCTCAGTCAGCTTTCAGCACCTGAGCTTATTCCTTTTCCATAGATTAAGCCCAGCAACCTCAATACTTCAGTGTCTTTTTCTCTGGGTCAGTGCTTGCGACTAAAGTTTTTTTGAAACAAAGAGCTATTACAGCAGACAATTTATTTATGTCTTTAGTTTTGGTTAGCAGTCATGCCAGAGATGTCTGCACCTTCATGAGAGCTGCCAACATCTCCTGGTTTGTAGAGGTGCAACGGTTTTCTTCGAATGACCGTGCCAGTAATCCCCCTCCCTGCCCGTGCTTCAGCCTGAAGTGCTACAGAGGGGCTGATGAGACACAAGCCAGGGAAGATTCCAGTATACAATAAATCATCAATATATGGAAAAGAATGGCGGCTGACAGAGACCCAGAACTGCCACAGTCTTCCTAGGAACTTCCCTTCACGAGATGCCATCACCAGAAACTAGCGCACAGAGAAAGCACTCATACACGCCTACGTGAGGTAGAAAAGGTCAATGGACCTGCTCTCCTCTTCCCATCTCTTAATTCCATGGAAGGGAAAATATGCCCCAGTTCTAAAGCTGAAGATTTTACTGCTTTGTAATTTGAAGACTAAAAAACCCAAACAAAAAAACCCCCAATCCCTCAAAACAGGTATGAGTTTTGGAAGGAATACAAATCCTTATGCCTCAGGGAATGCACCGATCACCAACAGGAATGCGCAACCTACTAGTTTCTAAATTTCTTAAACTATCAGCAACCCGTAGGCAACAGCAGCGATAGATCATGGGGACAGATGGACCGGCTCTGACTGCCGTTGCCAATGACACTATCCCACTAGAAGCTATAGGCCTGACACAATCCTTTCAGAATCTTCATCTGAAAAAAGCCTTCATGACTGGAGTTAAATATTTATAATATGCCAAAAGATAGTTCATGTATTTTCTCTGCAAAGTATGACATGGTTTATATTCACGTTTTCATACTGGCTTTACTCTCAATCTCATGCACACATAAATGTTTGATGGCCTAGGACACGTGACTAGCTTTAATCATGTTTGGACAAACCTCCTAATTATACATTTATCCTAGTTGTATAGGCCATTGAGTGAGTAATACATGTTTTAATAGGTCTAATTACAGCTTTAACTTCTTTCTCTTTTTTTAATTAGTTAACAAAAGGAATTAAGCCACAGTTCTCTAGAAGATTAGCTGTCAGTGATAAACCTATAATCTGCCAAATATGTGTACAACTCTGAACCACCAGATTTACTGTCTAAAGAATCATATGATCCTTAAGCTTCGGTTATTATTTGCATGTGAATGTGGAGTAGCTTGTAAGGGTCTCATAAAAAAAGCTGAATACATGCTTCTTTCTGATTAGGGACACACGGACCAATGAGACCACACAGATATAGCTAACCTAGTACAAACTACTAGT